CAACCACTCCAGCAGCCCATGTGTATGTGTGTGTATGTGTGTGCGTGCATGTGTGTGTGTGTGTGTGTGCGTGTGCATGTGTGTGTGTGTATGTGTGTGTGTGTGTGTGTGTGTGCGGGTGTGTGTGCGTGTGTATGTGTATCTGTATGCGTGCCCATCATTCTAGAGGAGCTCCTGTGCTGTGGGGTCATGCTGGGGTTAGGAGTCTGTCTCCTGCACTCACACACACACACACACACACACACACACACACACACACACACACACACACACACACACACACACACACACACACACACACACACACACACACACACACACACAGTACAGTACGTGGAGTGTGGACTGAATCCTGCAGTGTTAGGAGGGCCCTGTGCAACATCATCCCCTGTGGACTTCTCCTCTCTGGGTTCTTACACTGGTGGAGGACACCTGAGAGCCCGAGCTTCTCCAAAACACAGATCTGGTTTCTCCTGTGCTCGGTGTAACTGAGGCTGTGGTGGTTCTTACACCAGAGTATGACACGTGTCTGCTGCTGCACTAGTGTCTGGTCACATGATTGTCATAAGATATGAAGCTGTGGGAAACACTTCTTACTTCATGTTGTCATTCACTATAGAACACTGGACAGGTGCAGAACGGAGGACAGGTGCAGAGCACAGGACAGGTGCAGAATGTGTCTGTTTTTCATGCCAGTTTTAATTAAGGTTAAAACAATGGAGACATTAAAATAGCTGTATTGAGTCTATAACCTTGAGCCTGTAACGCTCCTGTGCTGAGTTCTTGTCTTGTTCCTGCTGCTGTGATTCTCAGAAAACACTTGACTGATGTTTGAATGAATGAACATGAGGTTTGAACAGTCTCCTGTCACCAGCCTCATGTGTCTCCACTCAACCACTGCCTTTATTTACTCTGCTTGTTTTCTGTTTGACTCTGACTCTTTCAAAGAATCACAAGAGTCGACTTTCCTGCACAAACATTTTATGAAAGAAATGTTACTGCACTTCTATGGGGTATTAACTGTTAACACAAAACACATTTAGATCACAGTGTACTGTTTATTGTTTGGAAACTGCTGTATTCACCAAAAACAATGTATTAACATGTTTTATAACGTTTTATAAGTGTCTGATGCTCTGAGTCTCCCCTCCCTTTGCTCTTCATATTAAGTCACTTCCCCTTCAGAGCCCGATCACAACACAGTCAGCGTGCATCCCGCTAATGACTGCAGATGGCATCAAGTTTGTGAAGTTTGAACAGTTTTGTATCATGTTTGTGTATATTTATTAGGGCTGGGTATCATTAAGCAGTTGCCGATTCGATACATACCTCGATACACAGACCACAATATGATACATATGTCGATACAGTGCACTTTTGATTCGATATGATTCAATATGATGTATTTCAAATCGATTTGATACGGTTCAGTAAAAAAAGGCTAAATCATGTCTGTGATAGTAAAAGTCTTTGTTAAACCACTTCTTGTGTAAAATTCATATGAAACACAAACATTTTAATAATCAAAACTGTGAAAATGTCAAATGTGTCGCATAAACGAGTTTCCTTCCTCTGAACAAATAACAAAACTGTAGCTGTAACAAAATAATTTAGTAAAATATACTAAAAAATACCCTTGGTGATATATCGATACAGCAGCCCACGATATCAATACTGTATCATCACATTAAACGATATGATATATACTGTAGATATTTCAATATTTTTGCACACCCCTAATATTTATGGAGAATTTTCAGGTGGCTTGTGGGCGGAGCCTTGCAGATAATGCTGCTAAACCTAAGGAGGGTTCAAATAGGGCCAGAGAGATCAGTAGATGACTCAAACATGCACGGACATCTGACACCTCTTCAGGCATGTTTTGGATGAGGGGACAATGGTAGAACACAGCAGAAAGCTAGAAAAAATAAAATAAAAGTTGCATAATACCACCTATATATCAAGTAATAAAGTATCCTGAGTGTACTGCATGCGTATATAAAATACTGCAATTATATATTTGTTTGAATATTACACAATGAGTTAATGCTTAACCACTGAAATCTGATATATATGTTTAAAGACACTGCTGTGAAGGTTGTGTACTTTTAAGGAAAGTCTTTACAGAGCGGTTGCAGTGGAGTTGTTTTGGCTGGCACCAAGCCTAAATAGACTTGGCTGTATTTAAACCTGGCGGTCATCTCCTTATGGTAAAGGAAAACGGAGATGCTTCAGGGAGGATCCACGGCGTGGACTTGTTTAACATAAATTTGCATATTCATGTTGTTGTTTTATATTTCTGGGTTGAGGGAAACTCAGGCGTTCAGACCTGCTGACGTAAGTCCTGTGTAGCTGTAGGCCATCAGGGACAGTGATTTGACCCAGAGCTCTGTATTAGAATTGTATTGAATAGGGAATACATTTTTGTGATTTCAATCGATCGATTCCAGCGTCATTTTTCCAGAGAACACGCTAACACACCTTTTTAATAACAGCAGAAATGACGCTGCAAATTTGTACAAAATTGAAGGATGTCATGCTGCTAAAGCTGAATTGGGCTCCCTCCCCTTCCCCAGTTCCATCAACAGGAGTGATTCCAGATTGATAAAGAGTAGTCACGAAACGCAGGTGGCTGATCAACCACAAGAAAGTTACGTAATGCATTTTTAAAAACTAAATTTGAAACAACAAAAATGACAATTAATAATTTTGTCTTTTCTGTCTTGCCCCAGTACAGATACGTTGTATAAGCCGCTCTTGAGGTCAAAATAAGTCTACTGCAGGGGTTCCCAATACGTCGATCCCGATCTACCAGTCGATCGCCAAGGTCGTGTGGGTAGATCACCTTGTCTTAGTACTCGTCTAGGACTCGATCACGTTTGGACTCGGTCTTGTCTCTCACTCAAGGTCTGACACTCAACAAGTGTGATCATATTTCATTACGGCCGCTGCTGTTGGTAATAAACTTGTAGCGGGTGCAGGAGCGTGTGGGGCGTCTCAGTGCAGCCTGTGCGCTCATTTGAAACCCGCGGAGACTCTACGGCACATCACAAACACACACGCTCCCTATGCACGGCTCGTCTGCGACAGCGTGTGCCCTCGTGTACCAGCGTGCATCACAGGGCAGGTTCAACTTCCTAAACATCCTACCTGTCCATCTGCCTCACGTCAGCACGCCGCCCCTTTTTCACGCTCTCGCTCCTTCCTGCGTACAGCGAACACAAGCCCCTCCCACAGTGCGGCTGATTAGAAGAGCAAGACCAAACGTGGAGCAAAAAACAGTCTAAATTTGTGTTCCAGTGTTGGCACAAAGCAGGTCTACAGCATAGAGCGGATCTACAGAACAGACCTACTGCCACATTTGGCTGAAGTTTGTCTAACAAAAGTGCACAAATGCATCTGTGTTTGTCACGATGTGCGTTTGGTTTGGTAAACGTGCAGAGGCTGGTAAATATCACTGCAAAACCAGAAAAGAATGAAACTCCAGTTTGGAACTTTAAAAAACAGGTTTAAAATTCTTACCTACTTCCTTCACTTTTTTCACAGTTTTGTGTAAAGTGCCAGAGGAAGTTCTCTTAAAGAAGGGCTTCTCAAACTGTGGGTGACGGTCCAAAAAAGTGGCACAGAGTGTTTCAGTGCAGTTTGCTTGGCTTTGTATTAGGTAGATCATTTTGTAAGTAGCTCGCATGCTGAAAAAGTGTGAGCACCCCTGCTCTACTGCATGATTGATGATAAAGCGATTTACTGCCCGATAATCAGGAAGTGTACATTAGCATGCGAGTTGTTGTCAAGGCAAAACTGGTATCTGAAACTCATGGTGAATAATTAGGATGCTCTGAATGTACGTGAGGAATAACTGTTTCAAATTAATTAGTTCTGTTCACCTTTTTAAGACGCTATAAATCACTCTTTTTAGCCGCTAATAATTATTTCCCTTGTGCTTCTTTGCTTATTTGAGCTCAGGACTTTATATTGGTTTACCCAGGCCCGTATGAGAGGAGGATTATCCTGTTTGCTGTGGAGGACTTAGCAGAGTCCCAGTGCCTCTAAGTGAATTTAAAATGAGTCTGGACCACTTTGGATCAGCACAGCACACTATTGAGTCGTGAGGGTGATGAAACAAGTGCGCTTTCCTCTCAAACTGTTTACTCAGAGATCAATACACAGAGCTGAGGAGGAGGAGGAGAGGAGGAGGAGGTAACAGAGTCTATTGTAGTAAACTTTTATCACTCTATTACAGAAGCTGGATTTCCTCTTCATAATGGAACAAACCAGCAGGGTGTGTCGTTAAACTTAAATGTTGCCAGACAAATCCAGACTGATCTCTCTCTCTGCTTTTTATACAGAGTCTGGTCACCACCACCTCGAACTTCTCATGCACTGAGTCTCCCTCTAATTTCAAAATGACATTTCAATTCCAGTGGCGTTTCGTCAGTTAGGCTTTATGTTTCAAACTTTGTTTCAAATTGAACATATATCTGCATAGACATTTTTAGCATGTTAAATGTGCTCATATCACTTTATTTGATTCATGTGTTTGGCTTTAAGTGCGCTGAGTCAGAGCGACTTAATGGAGATCTATGGGAGAGGCTGAAGTTTGGAGAAAATTACATTACAGCCCTGACCTGAAATCAAATAATTGGTCTTCATAAACATTTATCACACACCTGACTTATTGTGATTCAGCTGCTCGCTCTCCTGCCCAGTCCCAGCTCTGCACTGGGGGCATGTTACTGCTACAGGCTCATGAATGGAGACCCACAGAGCTGTGTGCTGTACAGGTGTAACGAGTTCAACTTCAAGTCAAAGTGCTTCTGACAAACAGTTTTTGGTTTGTGGCTAGTTACTTTCACCTAAACCTGGACCTAAACCTGGTAGTGGTGCAGTAGTGATGGAGTAGTGAGTACTGGTGATGACGCACTGATGCCAGAGCAATGGTGATGGAGCACTGGAGGAGGAGTACTGGTGGAGAAGTATAGAGATAAAAATGTGGTTCTTACCTCGCTCGTTGGCTGGGGCCACATAGATGAAGCTCCGGCAGTTCTCACCTGTGAGAGAAGAGAAACATGAAACACATGTGTCATGTGTGTTGTACAACACTGAGCCTATAATCACATGGAGTGTCTTGCCCAAGGGCATAACAGTGGCAGCAGCTGGCAAGAAGGTGATTAGTGAGGAATCTGGCAACCTGCTAATGTAGCTCCAGTCTGTGTGTGATTGGATGAAGACTGGCATGAGTCTTAATAAGCTCATTTCCACATCCACGTTACACTTTAATGTTTTATTCATGCAGAGGTGCTAAGCCACAGCTGCCCTGGGGCAGGCTGACAGGCCAACTGCTGAAATGATTATTTCTATTGAAAAACGGTTGGAATATAGTGACTAAAGATTTCTAATAAAGAATGTTTATAAATTAAGTGAAATTGTTTCATATTTTTAGATGTTTTCAATATATAATAATGCCCCTGACTTTGGTCTTGTTTTTCAGATGTGTTTCAGAGTTTAGTTCCAAGAACCATCACAACCCCCAGCCCCTGACACACACACACACACACACACACACACATGTGTGCGTGTGCATGTGTGAGGTGAGGTGTTCTGAGTCACCACAGAGACATGTGTTTGTTCAGCAGAAACAGACTGTCACAGGGTTACATCATCATGTGTTTGTAGGATTTATAATGATGCCCTCCCACGTTTAAGATCATTGTCACATGGCAAAATAAACTATTCCAATGCTGATAGAAACAGTTTCAAAGGTTTGTCCTGTGGAGGTGTTTGGACAGTTTGACTGCTCCCTGAGGCCAAGACCAAACTGACAGGCTAATGTGAAATTTATCCTGCCCAAAGAGCACAAGTTTATCTGTGAGAACTTTTCTACCTTCTACTAATAATGGATTACATCCACAATTCTAATATGTCCATTTATTAAAGGGACTCTAAACACTTTTTCTAGATCACTTTATTTAGTTTAAGCACAATAAGCAGTAAAATATAATCATGATAAAAAGCTTAAACAAAAACAGTGTGAGGAGAGTAACAGCCTTCAGGACCAAAGTGTCCGTCCTCTGTGTCCTCTGTGTTTTTACAACACAACAGAATGTTTCTCCTGCACCTGTCTCTCTCCACTCTGTTGTTTCACTCTGTGATGATGAGACAGAGTGTCTTCTCTCATATTTGGTGTTTATCTGTTGTACCGGTGTAAATGTTTATGTAATCAACTATAATGTGTCTTGGCCATAGAGTGTATAAAGAAATGGACTATGAGGGACGTCATTTGACTCCAGTCAAATGAAGCTCATGAGGCTGGGAGTCATAAGGGCAAATCAGAGCTTCATATTAGGAATAGGAATTCATTCACAGAGAAAATGGCAAATTACAAACCCCAGGATCATGCAGAACGAAGTTAATATGGATGTTTAAAGACCAAAATGAGAGAGAAAAAAAAGCAGAAGAGGGGGGAAAAAAGAGAGAGGGGGGTGAATGAGGAAAAGAGAGGGTAGGAGAGAAGGGAAAAAAAGGAAAAAGAGGAGGAGAGGGAGAGACAGAGGGAGAGGAGAGATAGAGAGGGGGGGAAGAAGGAAATAGAGGGAGAGATTTTTTTTTTGTTTGTTTTTAGACAGACCTTTATTACGTCTGTCAAAACATTTTACACTAAATGTCATCCACTCCTCCACTCCTCTACTCCTCTGACTGTTTACAACAAGAAAAAATCAAGTGCTTTCATTATACACATGATTCATTCTTTACTCTATTGACAAATAACAAACTCCTGCACAGAACCTGCATTTAACACTAAAAAGGTGTTGTTTATTTGGATTTGTTTAATCATAATTGTTAGGATCAGGAACAGGAGTAGTAGTAGGAGTAATAGTAGTAGTAATAGTAGGAGGATGAGTAGGAGTAATAGTAAAAGTAGTAGTAAGAGTAGGAGTAGGAGTAGTAGCAGTAGGAGTATTAGGAGGAGGAGGAGGAGTAATAGTACAAGTAGTAGTAAGAGTTGTAGTAGTAGCAGTAGGATAGGAGTAATAGTAGTAGTAATAGATGAGTAGGAGTAATAGTACAAATAGTAGTAAGAGTAGTAGTAGCAGCAGTAGGAGTAGGAATAATATTAGGATTAGTAGTAGAAGAAGAAGGAGTAGCAGTAGGAGTAGTAATAGCAGTAGGAGTAGTAGGAGTAGGAGTAGTAGTAGTTGTAGGAGTAGTAGTAGTAGCAGGAGGAGTAGGAGTAGTAGAAGGAGTAGTAGGAGTAGCAGTAGTAGTAGTAGTAGTAGTAGAAGGATTAGTAGTAGTAGTAGTAGGAGTAGTAGCACAAGTATTATGATTATTATTAGGAGTAGCAGTAGTAGTTGAAGGATTAGTTCAAGTAGTAGGAGGAGTAGGAGTAGTAGTAGTAGGAGTAGTAGCACAAGTATTATTATTATTAGAAGTATTAGTAGTAGTAACAGTACTAGTAGTAGTAGCAGTAATAGCAGAAGTAACAGTAGTAGTGGTTTCGTAGCACTAGTATTAGCAGTAGTAGTAGTAGAGTCATAGTAGCAGTACCAAAAGTAGTAGGCCTAGTAGTAGTGTCAGCATGAGTTGTGGTATCAGTATAGTAGTAGTATTATTAGTAGTATAGTAGTATTCATAGTAGGTTTTAATTTATTTATTTTTTCCAATAAAAGTCAATAAAACTACTCTTCTTTGATCATTGTGTCATTCCTTGTTTCAGTCTAAATTGTCATATTCACTTTAAATCCTCATTTCATGTACAAACCAAATATGTATATATATATTCATTTTCCTCTCATTATATTCATTATAGATCTTGTCCCACTGCATCTTGTCCCATGAAAAATGAGTAACAATTTGAGCCCCTCCCCCAAAACAGTGTGATGTGTTTACGGGCCCCTGGAGACACCGGAGCGTAACGTGTGACTGTGAGGGACAAAGACGACTAACGCTAATGCTAACACTAATACTAATGCTAATGTGAACGCTACAAGGACAGTGTGAGCACGAAGGTCAGTGAGCGGACCCTGCGACAACCTCAAAATATCCATGTGTATGCCGCGGCGCTCTTATTGTGTCTTATTGCGCATTGTGTAACTTTTCTGGTGGCCTGTCTCCATGAGATGTTATAGCTTTGTCTGGAATGTTTCACAGGTTACACCCTTATCATCAGAAAGTCCACTAGTCAGAAAGCCCACTAGTCAGAAAGCCCACTAGTCAGAAAGCCCACTAGTCAGAAAGCCCACTAGTCAGAAAGCCCACTAGTCAGAAAGCCACTAGTCAGAAAGCCCACTAGTCAGAAAGCCCACTAGTCAGAAGGCCCACTAGTCAGAAGGCCCACTAGTCAGAAGGCCCACTAGTCAGAAGGCCACTAGTCAGAAGGCCCACTAGTCAGAAAGCCCACTAGTCAGAAAATCATTCCCTCTTCTATTGGTTTGTCAGCAACATTTCTCTTGAACAATTGAATGTATATTTGATGAAAGCAACAGGGAATAATTCCTGGATATCAGGGAAGAATTAGTAAACTTTTTGGATGTTTACCAATTAAAAATGGCTGCAACATCAACATTTTTAGAGATATTGACAGGAAAACACATAATCATGCATAACAGAATTAGCCAAGGTCAGTATTACTTAATTTGTTGGTTTACAAACCCACCAATGCTATATTAAAAGAAAAAGATTTAAAATTAAATTGAAATGAAGGTTGTAGAGCTTGAATTACTGAACATTTTGCAAGTTGTTGCCTGAAAATCAGAGAATTATTAACCCTGTTACACTTAAGACGCCATTTCCACCCAAATCATTATTTCCTCAAACATTTTTGCTGTATTTTAGGGGTTTCAATATATTTATTACTTTTAATATTTACTTTTTAAAATATTTAAAACTTGAAATACAATTTCATTTGTAACAATTTGTAAGACGACCTGAACATGGATTTTCTGACTAGAGGCTCTTCTGATGATAAGGCTGACCCTTGTTTCACAGTATGGCATTAAATCGTTCTATCGTCATGGAAACCAAACTAGACCAAATTACCGGTCAGATGTGTGGAGAGGCGACCCCACTCACAATCAGACACAATCACACCTGTTTTTTTTTTTTTTTTTTTGAGCTATAAAACCACCTGTAATTGAATAAACATCAGTTTGTGCTCTTTAATGTCATATTGTGAAACATTCCAGGCAAAGCAACGACATATCCATAGAAACAAGCAGGTGACTGACCAGCAACTTTTTTTTAGCTTTCTACCATATTTTGACCCGATAGAAGTAAAACACCCTGTGGGGAAGCTGGCCAAAGTAGTCAAAGTAGGAGGCAGATGACACAAAAAAGGTGTCTTTACGCAGACAAAATGGATTAAAAACAGACTTCTGGGTTTAACCAACAAAAGTACAAATAGACAAAAAATAACTCAAACAAAAACACCAAATACCTGCACAGAAATCCCCCTAATTGGTGACACCTGCTTTGCTTTATACTCCGCCCACAGGAAGTACCTCCCCCCAGGTGAGTATCCAGGGAACTCCCCAAAGCAAGTCCCCTTTCAAAATAAATCATGTTAAACATAAACTAACGTGAATTTAAAATCAGACAAAGGTCCCACTTTGTCACACACCTCTCTTTAAACCAGAGCGCGCATGTTTTTACATGTTTCTAATCGTGACTTGGTTTGGTGGATTGTACCTGTGGTGAGTATTTATCTGTGAAGTTGTGGCAGAAAAAAAAAAATAAAAAAAAATTGAAAGAAAAGTACAAAAATGCATTCTGCTGTGGAAAAAAAAAAAAAAATGTATCTCTTGATGATAAATAATGAATCCATTTCGAGGCCCAGTGAGTTTTTGGAATACAGACAAAGGTTTATTCTTGTTCCATCAAATATGGACAGAGCCGAGTCCTGCCCTGGCTGCAGACCAACAGTCTCTCCTGACTCTCCTCGCTCCAGTCTCCTCTTCTCTCCAGCTCCCCCAAAGCATCTGAGCTCGGAGGATTTATACACAAATACAAGTTACATACAAATGAAAGCAGAGTGACTTTTCATAGACTTGTT